AGAAATGCTTGCAGGGTGGAGTGCTGGGCACGTGAGTGTTTTCACATAAATATGGAATAAGAGGGCATGTGCAGTATGCTCTGGACCCTCTGAAAGAATGCATTTTTAACAGATTGACAAAGGTTGTCCGATGCACACAAGTTTCCCTTCATAAAAACGCAGGATTGAGTGGAAGGAAGAAGTGAAAAAGGGGCTGGGGAGAAAGTGGGTGTCAATCTGAACACTGCCTTCGGGAAAAGTGAGCGTTCCCCTGAAGAAACAGACCTAAGCTCTACTCGCTCTTATGCAGAACTACAGGAAAAACACCAGCAGCTGAAGTTTCTTGGACTGTCAAGGGCAGAGGCATTATGTGATTAGCATTGGGAAGGCAATGTAATTTCAATTGCCTTGAAAAATGCAAAGTCCTTGTTAAGGTAATTATTCCTTCTACATCTAATTGACTGTTTTGTTTGACACAGGCTGCATTTCTGCCCATGTGAAACTTCTTCTGAGTTACAGGTTGGGTGAACAACTGCCCTGGTTTACCTAAGACTGTCCTGGATTTTAGCACAGAAGGTCCCATGTCCAGGAAACCAACCCCCCCACACTCCAGGATGGTTGTTCATTTTGGACAAAAGACTGGAGGAAATGCAGGAGAGGGGACAGGGAGGAGGGTCTGAGGGCTCAGGCACTGCAGCCCCTCAGGACAGCCTGAGACAGCCAGAGGCAACTCTCAGTTCCAGGCTGTTCCAGCAATGCCAGTTCTGAGTCCTTCATTCATTTTCTCCCAGAAGAAAACTGAGCGAAATTGTTATTAGTGGGTGTCTAGGACCTCACAATCAACAGATCCTAAAGCCCCTGTCTGTATTGTATTTTCTTGAGGTTATTACAGCTTTAAAAGTCCAAAGTGAAAGGAAGCTAAAGCTAAAGAAATAATAGAGGCGTGATGCCAGCAGGTGGCGCAGTGGTTAAAGTGGTGGACTTCCACATGGTTGACCATGGTTCAAGTCCTGGACCTAGCAGTTTGAAACTCACATTGGGCACATGTGCATGTGTGCCTCAAATCTGGGGAGGATAATGGAAGACAAGGGATTGTGACTGGCCACCCCTCTTGAGGGGTGATTTCTTGTCTATTTCTTCATTGAGCACACATGCCCTATGCCAAAAATCTCTCATTAAAAAACAGAAATAATAGAGGCAAAGTTCACAAAGTTTGATGTTCAATTACCAAAAAATCCACCAAAGTGACCAAAGTATATTAGCTGCAAAGACAACATAAACTTCCCCGGTCCACACAGAGAGGAAAGTCATTTAACTGGGTGAGCTCACTGCCTGAACCGCAAACGTTTCCCCGACGCTGAGTCTACCACTTGGCCAAATGAGGAGACAGAGCGTGAGACAGTGGGAAACAGTCGGGTAAACACCTCCAAGGGACTAATCACTAGTTCTAACTGAGGCCCGCTGGGCCCAGCTACACCTGTATATCTCTGATAGCGGCTGAAGGGAGGCTGCTCAGGGCAGGGAACACTCAATTCCTGGCCTCCGAAGTCCCATTTTCCCCAGCAGGCCCTGTGTGTTGTAGTAGTAAGGTTGTGCAAGTGGAAGAGAAGGAACTGAGTCACTGGGCCATTTGGGTGGGGAG